ATGTTTGAACAAAACCAGTGGTAAGACAGGGGAAGAGAGGTAGAGATATTTCATTTACTCATTGAGACAATCAGACTGGAAAAGAAAAACAGTCAACATCCATTTGGAGGATCTGAAAACAATGTGGTCTTGCTTGGGTAATAAATCCACTGATGGACACATTGAAGTACATGAAGTTTCCTTAGATGGCAGGAGATCATCACGGGGATACATTTAAGAAGGATGGAAGTTAGCATAGAAGGCCGAAAGTGGTTGCCTCAGAAGCATTAGGGTTTTTTTTTGTTTGTTTAAGGCTTTGATAGGGCTAAGGTCAAACTATGCATTTGCTGTACTCTTTAAAAAATAATGAGAACATCTGGTTTTAAATGTTTCTTTTGTCTTAGGCTATATTAATAAGGCAAATCTCCATTTCAAACTGAGTGTTGGCAAGGAGTGGGGCTGTTGGGAATGTGGTTCGGTCCTTTATGTAGAGAAGAAGTTAATGGGTCAAAAACCTGGAACAAAACAAAACCCCTAAGTGATTCCAGGTTGCTCTAAAATAGTTGATTTGTGAGAAAGAGCACGTTAGCCTGGCAAATGGGGCTCGTTCAAAATGACTTTGTCTCCACAGCCCATTTCCCTGTTGGCTGTGTAGTGCCCTTCTCTAGGAGCAGTATGCTGACAGTCCCCAGATGTGCCCCTGTATCACTGCCCTGTGAGTGGGCAGACTGGACCTCCAACACCAGATCTGCTGTCTACTGGCTGAGTGACCTGTGTCAAGCTACTTGAACATTCTGATCTTTAGTTTTCTCACTTGTAAAATAGTACCAAGATCAGCATTTGGCCTTCATAGACACTGGTAGGGTTTTAGCCAGATCATTACTTATCTTACTGTTGTTCTCAGTTATGCATCTCTGGACCCACAAATAGAAGATCCTGATGTGATAGTTCCCTCTGGAAATGTGAACAGATTTGTCTGTCCTCTGATGAGGTCCAGGAGAGGATTTGGCTGGATGGTTATGGTAGTGCCAGTCAAAGTATGCACAGCAATTATTCAGAGAGAGAAAATGAGCATCTGGATCAAATATCAGTGTCTTTAGATTTAGGAAGTATTTGATCATGCTTACTATCCTTCAGTGTAACTGTGCCCAACCTCACCATGACCCTGCCTGCTTGAGCCTGTGTTTGGTATGGTCTCAGACAAGCCTCCTTGGTACCCTTTGTGTGTTTTGTATCTTGTATCTTGGGGTTGCCAAGACATAGAAAGACATATCCTTTAGCCTGATTTAGGTGGAGGACACATTGATTAAGAGTAAGATCTCAGGAATAGATCCTTATCAGTTAGTCTTGCCTCTTTGTTCCTGGTTGTTGTGAGACCCCGAGCAAGATGTTTCACCTTACCAAGCCTCAGTTTCCCCTCACATACAGTGGGGGTGACAATGAGCATGATGATGCTTCAAAGGGTAGTTATGAGGGTAAAGGAAATAATACATTTGAAACATGTAGTCAGAGCTTGACTCACAGTGAATACTCAAATAATAGTCATTATCAGTTATTACCCCAGAGTAGAGTTGGAAGAGTGAAGAAATCCCTCAAGTGCTGGCAGTAAGAACCTCAGTCTTGAGTACCCTGGCTCTGAGAAAGTTGCAAGAGTCTCAACAAAGGGCTGACACAGTGGGCTCTTTCCATTCTCTTCCACACAGACTTGGGGTTGGGGCTGAGGAGTGGCGAGGAACTTCATGGAGATTGTCCCTCAGGGATTAAGAGGATTGTGGAAGTTCAAAGGGAAGCCAATTCTGCTTTCTAAGAACAGGGATGGGGACTAGTCCTGTGGGACAGAGAAAGGGTACCCCATACCTCTGTGCTCCCATCTCAGTTAAAACCCACTTCCCAGGTTCCCTTCTCTGATGGTTGATTTGTAGTGAAAATACATCACAGGGCTGAGCATCCTTTGAGGCCCGAATCTTTAACTCAGGATGTCATGGCCTTGCCTTTATGTGGACACAGTGAGAACCTGCTTTGAAGGTTGGACAAGTGGGAGTCTGACACAGGGAGGTGTGGAGCACTCACAATCTGTTTGCAGTTCCCCAGTTGTGTTTGTCTGTTTGGGTGATTCCTGGAGCCACATCTCAGCTGGAGAGACACTAGTGGTCACACATGTGTGCATTAACACACACACACACACACACACACACACACACACACAGAGTCTTCCATACCAGAGAGGTAATACAAATGAGTGAAGCTAGCCAAGTGTAAGACAAATGTTGGGGAGAAGCTCTGTCATGACCTGGAAATCTTATAACTGGCTCAAAGTCATAAAGAAATTCTAATGGGAGACAATTTTCTAATTTTAGAAACACTTTCAGTGCTTCAGTGGGTGCTATCTGCTTGTGGCCTGTCTTCCTCTGTTTAGCAGTGGCAATGCTCTGTCGGTGCCCACTGTTGGTATGGGGCTGGGCATGGGGCTGGGGCAGCAATGGCCCATGCGACAACTGGACATCCTGATGAAGCTTCATCCAGAGTGGCTGGGAGGAGAAGAAGAGATGAACTCATCCAGCCAGGCCATCACCACTGGGCCTTGCCATTCTGGTGGAGTCTTCTAGGGTCTAGTACCCTTGGGATCTGTAACAGTCCTAGATTCCATCAACAGAGGGGAAAGGGATCCAGAGAAGAGGCTGCTGGATTGGCAGCTGCTTGGTCCCTGCAGGTGACACTCTGGGTAACCTTGGGCCACATACTTTTCCTAGCTTCTGGAGAATCTAATACTTCTTCTCATAGAAGGACCAGGGGCTACCTTAGGTCTCCTGGGGTTTCTGCAAAATGACAGTCTCTCTCAAGTCTTACTTCCTTTCTAGTAGCAATGCCACTATAAATGAGGCCCAGATTTTCAACAGAGATTTCAACAACAAGAGGCTTAAGGGAATAAGGAATTTGCAAATCTTACCCGCTGGAAACAGTCCAGGAATTTAGTGATGCTGGAAGAAACTTGAGATTTGCCCATGAGTATCAAAGCCCCTCTCTCTAGCTTCCCACTTGCTCCCAGCACTCTAGAAAGCTCAAACAAGATTATTGGAAAGCCTGGCCATTAAAAGGCAACTGATGCCCTATTTTTAGCCTGGATCCTATATCAAAACCAAGCAGAAGGCCCATCTTCAGCATTAATGGCAGCCCTCTGCACAGAGATAAGAGTTGTGGTTAAGAGGAATTGTGTGTGTGTGTGTGTGTGTGTGTGTGTGTGAAGATAAATCAAACTTTTAAACTGTCTTTTGCTAGGCTATTAGAAAAACACATGTATCTTAAAAACAGCTTTCTGATAGGGGGCAGGCCTCAGCTCTGAGCAGAATGTAGCAAGGGAAATTATTACCAAGATATCTGATAGCTGAAAAGGGTGCATTTTACCTCTCTGGAAGCCAAGGCCTATAGGAGAGCTGGGTGTGCTCAGATCAACAGGGGTACAATAGGACTTGAACCCCAGACACAGAAACCCTATTTAGGTTTACCTTCTTATCCTCAGATGAGAAGTTGTGGGTCTTGGCAGGCATTCCCTTACATGTAGGTGATAAGGTGGTTCTGGCAGAGGCTGAAATGGGCTCCCCCACCAGCCCATTTACTCAGAGCCCTCAGCAGAGCAATTCCTGACCCTTCCTGGTGTCCACTGGGTGGGGTTTCCTACTCTGGGAAGCAGGGCGTTCTTTGGCCAGAGTCCTGGCCTTTTAAAAAATTGAGGCACCTGGGCTCAAGATCAGCTGTTCCTCTGATCTGCAGTGTGACCTTGGACAAGGTTATTGACTGTATTTGGGCCCAAGTGTTCCATCTTGTAACAGGAGAGGTGGCATTAGATCTTCTCCAACAGCTAAGTTTTTGTGCTGAGGACCTAGGCACTAGAAGAGCCCACTGGCCAGCCTCCCCACCAAGCTCTGAACCAGGTCACACAGGCTTCTCCTAATTCCATTGAGCTCTGCTCAGTTTGTGCATCCTTGATCCTCCAAAACACCTGGTCAGCAGGTCCAGATCAGAGAGTGGCATCACAGAGGTCTGGGTGGCTCAGCTGTCCCAAAGTCACACATCAGCAAATGACAGGGTAGGGGCAGGAACCAGCCTGATTGGAGTCTGAGCTGGGGGACATTTCCCATTTGCCAAGACTGATACTAGATTTTGTCCAGTGGTGAGGATGGACTTGGTGAACAATGTGTGTCTCTTCCATGTTCCCAAGGGACATGGGGCCCAGAGCTAAGAGCTCAGAATGCTGTCTTCTCACTTCCTGCATGCAGACCCTGGCCATGTGGGGTCCTGGGGGGCTAAAGGTAAGGGTCTGGGCTGGGGAAGTAAGCAGGCATAACTCAGGATTGTGGTTGCTCTGGTTCATCTCTGGGAGTTGAGCAGCCTCAGGCTGGATGAGGGAGAGAAGCCCAGCAGAGGGAACCGTTTCTACTCCAAACCCAGTGTGTTCTTGCAGTCAGGCCACAGAGAGGGGGTCTGGGTTTCTACAGGACTTTCTGTTAAGGAGGTGGACGTGGGTCAAGGGAAGCTCAGGATCTCCATGGCCAGTGCTAGAGCTTGGCCTGTCCTAAGTACTGAGAATTCTCTTTCCATAAAATGGAGCTGTGGTCTGAGTAAAACATGATGATCTCTGTTGACCATCTTCAAAACTATACAGTGAGGTGACTGATTCTCACATTTGTCTTGGCCTTTTATATCTCCACCTTCAGCTCCTATATCCACCTCATAAGAGCCCTCAAGGAGGTAGTGCAGATCTTCTCAACTCATTTTCCAGATTAGGACACTGAGGCTCCCAAGGTCACATGGGTGCTGGCTTGCCGAGTGGAGAGTGCTTCCATCACCCAGGCTCACCCCACTGCACCTGCTGCTGCCCTGCAGAGTAGTGTTTCTGGGAACAAAAGTGAGGGCAGATGTGGCCAGGGGTGTCCATCTGTCCCAGCTGGCTGGCTCCCACCCCTCAAGCAGCCTGGGTGACAGTGGCCAGGCATAGGGGATGGCAGCTGGGAGGCGGGTCTTACCTGCAGCAGTGGTGATGCCCAGGAGCCGGCAGGTGTATTCCAGACCAGTCCAGAACATCTGCAGCTTCATGGTGCCAGGGTTGAGGGCAGGGTCCCAGTGGGGCAGGCAGTGGAGGCTTCAGCCTGAGATACTCCTGGATGCCCGTGTGCAGAGGGAGGCTGTGGCTGTCGGCTCTGGGCCCCCGTGCCCTGGGGCCCTGCCTTCCAAACCAGTCCTGGCCACCGCAGCCTGGCTGAGGTGTGAATAGGGCTCACCTTCCCGGCTTTGCTGCCTGTGCCCTTGCCAGACACTTGGCTTAATCATTACCTTGGAAGAATGCCCCTGCTGCTCTGTGCAGCTCCAGCCTGGCTTGGAGCTGCTGCAGCTCCAGCACGGCCAGCCGCTTGAGATCAGGCCAATTAGGGCTGGGCTGGAGGAAGCCTGGAGCTGGCAATTAACCATTTCTGGGTGGGAGGAGAGTCGAGGAGCCAGATCCGGCCCTTTCTTACAGGTCAGCTTTGAGAAAGTCACACCTGGGCTTCAGGCCCACAGGGTCTAGGACGGTTGGCGTCTAGAGGTGACAGGTCTGTGGTGGTCTGTGTGTGGGAGAAAAAGATGTGTCTTTAAATTACTAGCAGAAACAGCTTTTGAAATAAGTTCTAAGCTTCTATTCTTCTGCATATAGGAGGATTAGAAAGCTCTGCAGTCTTGGATTTGGACTCGACCAGACATACCTAGTGAAATAAGTCAGTCAGAGAAAGAGGAGTACTATGTGATCTTGCTCATATGTGGAATTTAAGAAACAAAACCAATGAGCAAAAGAAAAAAAAGGGAGACACAAGCCAAAAAACAGACTCTTAACAATAGAGAACAAACTGATGGTTACCAGAGGGAGGTGGATGGAGGGATAGGGGAAATGGAAGATGGGAATTAAATACTTAGGATGATAAAAAAAAGTTATCCCAATGTGATTCATTTGATCAAGATTTATTAATATTCCATAAAAACTATCATTTTTTTCATCTCCCCCCTTGAATGAGTTTAAGAATCTCTTTATTCATGTGATCAAGTTAAAAAATGTGTGTTTTGACCTGTTTATTTCTTGGGTCAGCTGACTGTATTTAACAGCCGACTGTGTTTATCAACTCCAAACTTCCCTGTTTTTTACAGGTCTTGGCACCTGTGCATCTATGCATTGTTTCTCCCGCGTGCTGGTACCTGGGTCTCTGTGGCAGACACTGAACCAGACAGATGTTGTTCCTGGAGGCCAGGGTCAGTAGCCCTGTGGCTCCATGCCCTGTGGGATCCCGTTCTCTTTGAACTCTTTGGGAAGCTCTGGTCAGCCCCCACAGCACGCCTTGCTTCCTCCCTGATCACAGCAGCTAGTTTTCTTGAGTATCTGACATCTCCTTGCTCAAAAGATGTAGAGTCCTTTCAGGCCTTGTTTTACAAGGTCTGTTTAGTTCAGTCCCGATTATAGCCTCCCCTGCTTCATGCCTTTGTTTTAGGAATGAGCATTGGTCTCAGTTCTGGTCAAACAGCCTGGAAGGAGCATGTGCTGATGCACTTTTGGGGAAGTGTCCCTCACTTTTAACAAGGGGCCTGAGGACGGGGTGGGCTCCCTCTCTTTGGGTGCACCTGTATCAGGACAGGCAGCTCTCTCGAGATGAGAGGGTCAAGGCTAAGGGCACAATCAGCATCTGGAGTCTGGCCAGTGATATGGCAGCAACACTGGGCACCCGTTGTCCTTAGTGAGTTGCTAAACTTACCTGTTCCTTGTTGTTAAGCCAGTTGACCTAGGTTTGGGTTATAGCCCAAAGCATTTTGCCTAACATGGTGGGTCATGCCTGAACTGAGTTCTTGCCAAAACTTTTCTGCAGGAAGCTCTTTCTTGCATACCAGACTTAGGTTGGAAATACTTAGAACCAAAGAGCTCCACCCCTGAGGGTACTTCTGCTTCTCAAGGGCTGCCCGCTAAGATGGACAGAAGCAGAGTATTGGACTAATGGTGAGAGCAGGGTACAGCTTGTTGCAGAAGCACAGTGTAGAGGAACCCCAGTGTGTGTCATCTTGAAGAAACTTTTAAGAGGACTCTGGCAGAGCTTCTTGCCCCTTTTACTACCATCAAGCCATTTGTGGAGCTTCATAGGGAAAGGAGAAATCTGGTTGGCAGACAAGATCCTCAGACATCTCAGAATTCAGAGAAAAGAGTTCCAGGAACCAAGGGCCAGAGGCTCTGAAATAGAAGCTGACAGTGAAGGTGGTGAAGTTCCCAGACATCAAGGCTGACTTTGTAGTCACCAATGGGCCCAGAGGAAAAAGAAAGGGGCATCTTCCTGAGAAACTGGGGGACTGCCTGGGGAACTCTGCTTCTAAGAGGCTTGAGAAGGAATGGAGGGAAGGATCCAGATGGCAGATGGCCATGAGGGACCTGCATAGAGTGTAGGAAGTACTCCGAAGAGCAAGAAGGGAGCCTCAGATTACAGTAGTACATGAAGCAGAGTGCTAGAGACCCTGCTGCTCTATTCAACAGTGTGATGTGGGTATCACACAGTCTTCAGCTCACAGGGAGGCAGAGCTGCCCAGGCTCCACCAGGTGCTGATCTGTATAGGGCAGGGTGAAACACCTGCTTTGGATGGGTGGGAGCACTACTGAGCCCAATGGGTCTTCCCTGCTACAGCTCAGGGAAGGGCTTTATGTTATGTTATTTTAGCACCCTGGTTCTGGCAGAGAGGATGGTTCAGTGGTCTTCAGGCCAGGTTACCTGGGGGTGAACTTGCTTCTAACGGTCAGTGTGAACTAGGACAGGTCATACTTCTTGGGGATTGGTTTTTCTGTGCTTCTAATGAAGCAGTTGAACCCTTCAGATCTTTCCAAGTCACTAAGGCTGTGGTCTTTATAACTCTGAACTCTATTTCAATTAAGCTGTCTTGAAAGAGTAGAATGACAGGTGAGGGATTGCCGTACCTGATGGGGGCCTGACACGGGGACCACCTGCTCTGCAGAGCAAGCCTCACTGGATGTGGTCAGAGGGTCCTGCTAGTGCAGCTGGCTCTCCTGGGATCATCTGTCGAGACACAGATTTACAGTGTGGGGCCATAGGAGATTGTAAACATTTCATGGGCTTTGCCCTCTTGATGACCACAGATTTTGGGAAATTGGTCTCTGACATCAGTCCTCTCAGGGGACACAGTGAGACTAAATACCTATCCAGGTTTGTAGCATTTAGAAGGTTAAATCCCCAATGCTCCCAGGAGTGAACTCCAACATGTGGAGGAAATAATATTTTAGTCAAAGGCGCCGAGTTGCTGCAGACAAGATCCCCCTCTGTTGTTGCTGTGAGGAAGGGGTTTCCTCATCAATCAGAGCCCCAGGGGGAGCTCAGGAGAAAGAACACAGGCTCCTTCGTGAGGGTCCTGGCTGTGCTCTCCCAGAAAACCACACCCGCTGTGAAATGTAAGGGCAGGGGTGAAATTAGGAGGGGAAGCTACAATTTTTCTTTCCATGTCAGCGCTTTTCATGATACTGTTTCTGAACATTTTGACCTTTTGGTTTAAATTAATTGGCAAAAGAGTCTATGGCTCTGTCAGGGAAAATGAAAATCCTGTTGGTGAATTTTGTTTAGAAGTCAAACAAGGTCATTTTAATTATCGCTAAGTGCTAAAATCATATTTTACTCATTTGATTCCTTTCATTCATCCACCATCACCCAATTGCTAGTTCACATACCAAAAACATTTTTTTTTCTGATATAACTAAACAAACAAGCACCCAGGTTTAGTTTTGAAAACACAGGGGCTTCCAGGTGAATGTTGCATTTTTAAGAATGGTAAGCATTTGGCTCCTCCCCACTAAGATAGAGCGTGAGAATTTAAAAGCTGTTTACTCCAAGAGAAGAGCAGACAGGGGACATTCAAGTGAAGGAAGATGGAAGAGTGGCACCTGCTTTTGCAGAACATAGTGAGGTTTGAACTACTTGCCCACAGTAGGTATTTCCTGAAAGGCTCAGTACCCAGGAACAGCAAGGAGCAAGGAGCTAGGGTCAGGCTTGGGGCTAAAAATGAGGGAATAGTTAAAAGTCTGGACACTGAAGCAGTTGGACTCTCAGGTCCTTTCCCTACCCCACTCCCATCCTCTTTTCTACCCTGCTTGTCTCCAGCTTCTCCCTTCAATGGAGATCACAGGTTTATTGTCCAGATGAACTGAATGGTGATGTGTCAGGCTCTGGGAGGCTAGGTGAAGCAGGGGACAGAGGACAGGCATTAACATCAGACTTGTGCTGAATGTGGGTTCCTTAGCTCTTTCCCTGATTTGACTCTAGAACAGCAGAGACTGACCTGTGTCCCCAAAGAGGCAGCTGGAGGACTTTTCCTGGAGAGTGTGAGTAGCCCAGGGAAGACCTAAATATTAACTTGTCAGGGACCAGAAAGTCTCACAATGTTGTTTGAGGTATTTTATTTAGCTTGGCAGAGAATCCTATGAGAGGAAAAGTTGCAACAGTGGTAAAGGTGGAAACCAGCAAGCCTTTGGATCAGCTGTTTGCAGAGGATGCTCTCTGGACCAGCAGAATTAGTATCACCAGAGAATTTATTAGAGATGCACATTTAGGGGTCCCACCTAGACCTACTGAATCAGAAACTCTTGGGGTGGGGCCCAGCAATCTGGGGTTTGGAACCCTGTTCCAAAATAATTATCTTTCCCTGCCTCATTGTGGTTTCTGAGCTGGCCCATCACATGGCCTTATGCTGAATCTCCCTCTCTGCACTGTGCTTGGCTACTAAGGGCTTCTTCTTAGGCTTCCAGTGCTCCCCAGCCACCCTGGAGCCTCCTTGGAGAAATGGGAACTCCATTTCCTCAGAAGTCAGGCTGCTAATTCCCTGCAAAGGTAACATGACCCAGAAAATTGACCAGGAAGAACTGAAAGCCTCTGCAGGGTCTTCTGGGAAAGCAGCCGGGCTCACAGCTCAGACAGGGGTGCGGGAAGTCAGGACTGCAGGGGAAGAGCCTCCGAGATAGCTCTGGTGCATGACACAGGACAGCCTGAGCTCTGGAGTGCTGCTGGAGGGGTTCTCTGTGTGCGGGATGTTTGAGGAGTGAGTGAAACCAGAGATTATGACCCCAGAGAATGGTGTGGGTGAGTCCCTGTGTGGCGAAACACCCAGGTCTTTTGACCTTTCTGAGAAATCCAGGCTCACTCTTTCCCTAAGTTCAGTTCCTAAGACAGTGGATCTTAACTTGACAGTTCATAGGAATCACCTGGGGAGGCTCAAAAGGTCCTGATGCCCAGGTCACAACT